AGCCTATGCGGGTGTCGATGAGCGAAAATTGGGTGTTTCTCGTGCAAAAGAATTGCCATCATACACGCTGTATGATTGAAGTCAATTAAAAAACAACAACACGAGAAAACCAGACGTTAATAAAATGAGATTAAAAGGGTGCGATTGACTCACCAACTCCGATTTTCTCCTCTTCCGTTGGTATCCACATATTTGGTTATTTCCCCTCCGGTAGAGCAAGCCACATTATGTCGATATCGTGAGATGATGCTGCTGAAAAAAAAATGGGAGCTGAAGGCTACAAATTCTGCTGGCTGCTCGAACATGGGACTACATGTCTCGACCGGATTCTGGATCCTGGCGCTTGTGTGTGTTTGCAATAGGAGGGGAGGAAAGGGGGGAGGAAGGAAGGACCATCAAAGCCTCGATATCTCCGCTCTATTATGTCCCCGGCGTGTGTCTCCAGTCTGATGCAGTCTCCGTGTCCACCTAATGTAACGCACACACACACACGCACGCGCGCAAGCAAGCAAGCGGGCACTGCACGCTTTCATGCACGCACACGGTGAGCGGTTTTTCTGGTCTCCAAAAAAATAGAAAGGTGTTATTGCAGACGCGTTTTAAGTGGAACAAAAATGTTTCGTTTTTTTCCCCCCCTCAAAGCTTGTTCATTTAATTATTTATTTTGTTGTTCCTCTCGATTTCGTTTCTTGCAGCCAATCGCGCGCAAGTCCGGCTGATCCAATACAATAAGGCTGCTCAGCCGGCGTGAACGGGCTCCGTCGGGTCGGTAATTAGTAGGTAATAGGTCGCGATGTCCGAGCTGTCGAACTGGCGCGAGAGAACCCCGAGAAACCTGCAATATACCATAAGCTGCGCCATCTTTCACGGTCGTCACATGACTCGGTTTGTCAACACCGATGTGTCAAGCATCAATGGCAAATATATGCGCCCTCTCTCTCTCTCTCTGCGTGGCAGTTGCATGCATCCATCACACACACACACACACACACACACACACACTGCGTTTTCTCCCGCTGTAGGATGCTGGATTGCTGGCTGGCAACGTGCCACCTCTGATTGTGAATGCGTTGCTTTTTGGGGGGGGGGGGCATAAAGTAGCTCCCGGTGTTACGGATCAGGCCAGACCATGTGGGGAAGCACCTCCTGGTTGGTTGAGTCATTTCAAAACGAAACAGACCCACTACCGGCGGTGATTTGTCATAGTGCAGTCATGCTCCCACACGGATGAGATGCAGCAATATAACTCCTATAAAGGCCAACCCCCCCCCCCCCCCAGTTTGGATTCAATAAATCTCTGGATTTCCCCATTAGGCTGCATCGCACGAGCACAGGCAGTTTTTTTTTTTATAGATGCCATTCACATGAAATAACTGATTGAATCTGAAATTTAGTTTAGTCGCCATTTGTTCCTGTTGTAGAATAATTAGCTGCCGGTGTGTGGACGTGACGTCAATTTGGACTCGAGTTGCTGCTCCAGCAGTGGGGGGTGGGGGGGGTGGGGGGGTGGTTCTTCCTGCACAGTTTGAACTGATTTAATATCAAAAAGGTGAGTTCAGTTCCTGGAATTAAGTATTTGTATTTTTAATTATGTTTTGTTTATTGCTCCCTTATATCCCCCCCCCCCCCCCCACACACACACACACACACACACGAAGGTCTAAGCTCTGTTTTTTTTTTTTTTTTTAAAAGCCTCCATTATACTGGGAATAACATTCTGGTGGGTATGTAATACTGAGCTGGTTATTTATTTACTTAATAATCTTTTTATGGCTTAAAATAAACAAAAATAAAATAATAGGCCTAGAAAACAAAGAAACAGTTTGCCTGTAAGCTGATTGATGTGAATAAGTTCATATATGTGAACACTGTTTTATCATGAAGTGAGTCACTGCTGTTAAAACTGTTAAGGGGGGGGGTGATCAACACAACGTGCATTACTTTGCTGTGAAGCGTCAGACCTGTGGAGTTAAGAGTCATCACTATTACATTCACACAACCTGTCTAATTACTTCAGTACGTCACAGAACACCGTCAATAAACGCAGCCTCACATCTGTGAATGTTTCAGGCCTTGAAGCTGTTCGTCTGTCTCACCTAGACCTTGATCTGGACATTTACACACCAGCGCGCTGTGGGAAGAGAACATGATGTTTGAAACCAGGTGAATATACAGTTTTAATCTTAAAACATCTCTGTCGTGCAGTATCTCCCCCCTCGCATAAAGCTGTCTTGTCCTGTACGGCAATAAGGAGCAGAAAAGAAAAAAAGCAGAGTGATTCTGTGAATATTGAGCGTCCAGTGACTTTGATGTAGTGTGGGAGGGAGGGCAGTATTCAGCAGGGTAATTTCTCTCCATCACAGCGACACTGTGACTGACTCCCATCTGTCTATTACTTCAAGTGGAACACTGTGGGCGGTGTTCCAATCACATACATAAAGCTGGAGGAGTGTGGGGCGTTTCGTAAGCTAAATAAGCATCCCAGCTAATAAACATTTGAGGGAGGAAAAAAAAAAGAATGACAAATTACAAGCTTCCACCGTACTTGGTGAAAGCACTGCTGCAGAGACGTGTTGAACCGAGCGAGCGTATGTTAAAAGACAAAAGATTTGAAAAGTGCACTTCTTCTCTGAGCAGTTGCTGCATTTAGCTGTGATGCAGCAGCACCGAGGCTGAGACGCACCGGTCCGCCTCACACAGTGAGAGCTGCTATCTGTTTCAACACTCCCAGAGCTAGCAGACAATAAGAGCCGGCCGAGGAGGCAATAAGAAGCATGCCCCCCCCCGCCCTAACTCATCCATCACACTGCCTTCACACAAACACACCAATCTTATATCCTTTAACTCCTCAGGATCATGTTTCATGCATCCTGTACGAAGAACTACCGACTGTACACACACACACACACACACACACACACACACACACACACACGTGCCAGAAAAAGCTCATTTGATCCGTCTTAATGTGGTTCTGGTAACTATTTTAAGGTGTTCTATTATTAAACGAGGGGGAGGCCGCACAGGAAAATTTAGAGGTGAATCCCTGCACGCACAATTCTAAAAAACACACGATGCATATAAACACTTTAAGGGCAATAACGGTAATGCAAGTAATGTGTAGCACAGCGAACATGTGATGTAGATCTAAACGCAGGTCGTCTCTTATTTCCTGCATCGTGGCAACAAGCAGCCTGGAAAACATGTGATCTCATCTCACTGGACGTGATTTAGCTCACTTCACTGATGCATAGATGGTGGTTTGGGCCTTGATGTGGAGGAACAGACCTGACACATTATCATATCCTTCATCATCATGAGGTGGATCTGTACGGCAGGAAGAAATCGAACAAAGATAAGACACACAGCAAAAAACAGGCAGTCACAGTTTAAAATGGTCCAACAGGAGCAGACTTTCAAGTGCTTTGAACTGCTTTGTAATCTATTCCACTTGTACGGCGCCGAGCACTGAGAGGCAGATCCAGTTCAGTATTTACTCGAGCGGTATCAAGAATTATTCAGTCCCCTTTGGTTCAGATGAACAGTAGCTTTCAATTTGCAAGGAGAAGAAATGTATAAACCGCGGCAGCTTCATCAGGATGCATCTACAAACAACGGTGGTGTGTGTCGCTCTCTTCCTGTTGCTGGTGAGGCTGAACACAGGATGCATCCATGACGGCGGACAAAGAGAGAGAAAAACACACTTTACTCTGATAGAAGAAAACACTTTTATCTTCAGATTGCATGCCAGCTGGTCCACACCAGGGTCTTAAAATAAGACGGATGAAATTCACAAAATACTTCTATTTCAGTGCGAGTTTGAGGCCGTGCAGAGATGTGCGAGGACCGTTCAACAACGCTCCATTTGGAGAGGAGGCGTGCACATAGAAAAGTGCATCATCTCCATAGAAGTGGATGTTATAAGTCTGTGCTGGAATAATAATGTAGATAGAACATAACGATAGTCCAAGCATGAAACCCAACCCTTTGGTTATTAAGAGGGAGGTGCTTCAAACAAGTTTCGGGGGTTCGATCCCTCCTCCTCGCTCCTCATGTCCGCTTGTCAAAGTGTCCTTGAGTGAGACGCTGAACCCCAAAGTTGCTCCTCAATGCTTACGGTGGCTTGAATGCAGCTACGTTGTGCTGTGTACGATTCTATGTGAAGACAAGTTTAAGTTCCCCTGTGTTCCATCAAACCAGAGTTCACCATCTGGTTCAAAATATTAACCAAAAGGTTCCCTTCAGGAGCTCCTTGCTTGTAGGAACCCGATAGAACGATCACGTTTGTGTGTTAATTTGACCGCTTCCTTCCTCTTAAAGCGGATCCTTAAAGGTCTCATATGATGCTCATTTCCAGGTTCATACTTGCTTTAATATTCACATGTTTCTGATACCGTCAGTCTGAATATTCACCCGTTGACATACACTAATAATTTAGAACTGTGACACGGTCTCTATACTGTATAGATGTGATGCTGACGGCTCGTTTAAAGGTATTTCTCTATGGATTGAGCGTTTCAATACTATAATAATAATCACAGCATTTAAAGCACTTTATAACAATCGAAAGACATGAAAATCTCATTGTTTTATAATGTGGAACCTTGATCATTTCAGTCCTGGGTGACTTATAATGTATATTTGAGTGAAAACAAAGGAAACGTACAGAAGAGTTTATCAGTCTGGAGTTGTGTTGTTGATGCGTAACCTTAAAGTTTTCACAGTTGTTTGCAAAGTTCCCTTTTTCTTTGTGTTCAATGGAGAACAAACTGACACAGCATTTGTTTTCAGGACACCATCATCATAATACTGCAAATACATAAATATTGCAATACTTTCACCAGTGTTACCTCCTTCAGTGACTTAAAAGACATTTACTTAAATGAAAATCTTCGAGATTGCCACCTTTAAAAAGCCACAAATGTTTTTCACTACTCCTCTACATCAGCTTATTAAACGTCCGATCATCGTTCACACGTCATCAAAGAAGCACACAAAGATTATTTTCCATCTTTATTTATAGTAAAAATACTTTAGATACATACAAGCTGTACATAAACGGTCTCAAGGAATCTCAACATCCAGGTCTTCTCATGGAAAAAGGAAACCGGTAACATGAACAGAAACAAGGCAAAAAGAACACATGGGAACAATCCAAACGTTTTCAAAAAAAGTGTGCAAGTGGAAGGCATTTGTTTTTCACAATGTTGGGAGTTTGAAGCCTCCTGTCACTCTACTCGGAGGAAAGTCAAGTTTGAAATGAAAATACTCTGCTAAATTTGACCAACGTCTTCTATTTCGATGTGAGATCTCTTTCAAGGTTTAGCAAGATCGATTTCATCAGTTTTCTAACACGAGATAAAGTCAGATGTTCCCTGTATGATGGACCGACAGCACAAAGCACCGTCATCTTCAGCTAAGGCCAAATCCTCCCATCGGCTCAGTGAAGCCCGGTAGAATCACACACGTGTCCGTCATGTGCCGGCAGTGAGCAGGTGTGTCAATAGTTGTTTGTTACAGTGTCCACGTTATTTACGCTTTCTTCAGCAACACAAGAGCAGCAAGCCAATTTCATTTCTCTCCTTACATAAATCAAATCAGGAGGCGACGTTCACGAATGGCACTGCTGTGTGTGTGTGTGTGTGTGTGTGTGTGTGTGTGTGTGTGGTGTTTTTTGGTCAGCGGTTTTAAGAGTAAAACCTGAAGGTGGCTTTGATGCCATCGGCGACGTGTTTGTGCATTAGGTTAGCTGCCTGATTCAAAAGCTTTATTACTTTTTGGTGATCATTCCGGGCGTCCTGGCAAAAACACGGAGCGAGAGAGCGAGAGAGAGAGAGAGAGAGAGAGAGAGAGAGAGAGATCGCGTCGTCGTATCCTTTGCCACACAAACGCAGACCACACAGCGCTGCAGTGAGCTTTTCCTCCAACAAACACTAATCTGTGACCAAACAGAGGCTTACAAAGTGAGTGAATCAATACCAAATGAAGAGGCTCGCTTAAAAAAGCCGTAAATGTGATAAAATATAAAACTTTTCCTCACCGCACATTTTCTCTCCTCATCAACCACACTTCTTTTTTTTTATACATATAAAACTATAGCGTTTACAATCATTTTCTGGCCCACCAGTAAGTCAATTTGTGTGCAAATCTCTATGGGATTGTTCTCCCTCGGTCTTGTCACTCAGAGTGCAGACACCTACTGTTTCAAACTGGCAGCGCTCCACGTTATCTCCCACCTCATCTGCTGATGCTATCGGCTCCTCTCGCCTCCCGCTCTGCAGCTCAAACGTCTGCGAGGAAGAGGTCTCGACATGTCGTCCGGATCCTCGGGTCCTGGACGCCGGTGGCTCCTCACTCGTTCAGGGATAAGATGATGTCGTCCTCGAGGTCAGAGTTGTCGGTGCTGTCTGTTGGTGCGACAGACAAATACGGATTTTAGAAACATGGGGATACAGAGACATGGGGGGGGGGGGGGCACTACATCTCCTGTCATTCTCTGGAATAAACCAAGACAGCAGTTTTCACATTCTGCTGGGAGAGACGACGTTTCCTCGCGGTGACCAGACAAGCATGAAAACACAGAACTGGACCAAACATCGGCCTCGTTGCATCACTTAATCCACCTTTCCCACTGTAGAACGAACACAATGACATCTTGCTTTTGTCTTTAGTGGAAAAGGTCACAGTCGGCATTCATTCATTCCCAACTCTGCAGCAGTCAAAGGTGTTTATTTGTATATTTAGCTCCTGGTTCCAAAAAGTGAAGCCAACGCTGAAGCGCCTTAAAGCTGCATTCTCTCTAGTGTCCAGCAGGGGGCGACTCCTCTGGTTGTATAGAAGTCTATGAGAAAATGACTCTACTTCTCTCTTGATTTATTACCTCAGTAAACATTGTAAACATGAGTTTATGGTCTCAATCTCTAGTTTCAAGTCTTCTTCAATACAGCATGATGTTCATTTAGTACATTATGGTCCATTTAGAGTCAAACAGACCATAAAGCAGGGGATGCTTTAGGGCGGGGCTACACAGTGATTGACAGGTCTTTAACCCTTTCATAGTGTGTTTTCACTTCATGAAAGTTAACTGTAGCAGTTTTGGTTTCCTAATAATGTCTTATTCAGCGTTCGGTTACCTAAACTTTAGCAGGTTTGTGCTAAAGGGGCTTGTTGCTCTGACAAGATCTGAATAACAATCTAGACTTGTGTCAAATCATAAACAGTAAAATCAAGCAAACTGAGTTAACCACGTACAAAGAACACATCCCCAGACTATCAGGATAAAAAAAAATAAAAAATAAAACTACTGACATGTTAGCTATCTGGTTAGCCATCGCTAAAACTGGTGGTTCTTCATTTAACTTATTATTATAAAATTCTAAACAACAACTTTTCAGCCTTTTTAAAAGTAGTTTTGGCAAATAAAGGATGATAAAGCTGCAGACACGGAGCAAAGAAAGAATAAAATGGAAGTAAAACTACAAATCCCACAATGCAGTGGTGAGGTGAATAAGAACCTGCAGACAGCGTTGCTCACTTCGAGCTCTACTCACCGTTGTCTCCATCCAGATCAACGTCGTCATTATCGGAGTCGTCCTCGTCGTCGTCGTCCCCGACGTCAACACCGTCTTCGAGCAGGCGTGACACCTCTTCGTCGGAGGGAGAGAATTCGTCATTCCCATCATCCTCCTCTTCATCGTCGCCGTTCTCCAGCTCGGCGATGAGAGGATCCGTGTCGATGTCATCGTCCGAGTCCTCGTCGTCGTCGTCTTCCTCCTGATCGTCATCCTCCTGACGACAAAGAAAGAAAATGGTGAGTTACAGAATCACAGCAACCTCAGAGTCGGTACGATATTTTAACCTGAAAAGAACAAAGTTGGAACCTGATCCTCCTCGTCCTCCTCCTCTTCCTCTGCAAGTCTCTGCCGGCCGACTTCGTACAGCCTGCACACCGTGTCAGTGTTCACAGAGTCTTGGTTCTACGGGACACGCAGGACGAAAAAGACATTTCATTGTAAAAAAAGACAAAAAGTCACTGACACCTAAAGCAACATCGTTAAGAGAATTTACCTCAATCACAGCAAGGTAGCAGTCTTTGGTATCAGTGCAAAGATCAAATATATTCCTCTTGACATCAATAGTGGCTGAGAAGAGAGCAAAGAACATGTGGAGGAAGTACATTCTCTGAAAATATTGCAATAAAAAACAAAATATTAAAGCAATCAATCAGGATTACCAACTACCGCATATACACATTCCAAGTAAAAACCCCTCCATCATCATGGAGGACTTGATAAATGACTTCATTATTTAATCTTTTTAATTGAACTCAATGAAAGGGAGGTGAGGGACACCTACCGATTGGTTTGTAGTCCGTGGCATTGAAGGTCCTGAACGACGAACCAAACGGACTTTTTATCTGCATCTCCATCATGTCGTCTTCATCGTCGGCCTGCAACATCGCTGCAGAAGCCAAAGAGCCACAGTACGAGTGAGAGAGTGAATAAAAAAACAAACCGGTGAGGTCGGGGCTCCGTGGTCGTCGTATTGAGCGTGAACCAGCTGGTTCTCTCTGCTGCAAGTCCAACGCTGAGCCTTCTGCCCATATGGCTCTGAGTGACGGTGGTATCAAGAGCGCGCACACACACACACACACACACACACACACACACACACACACACACACACACACACACACCTCTACAGGCTCCGTTCACACCTGCCTACAAACACACACATGCTCACTTTGCTTCATAATTACCCGCCTTTAGCTAAAAACACACCTTTCACACACTCGCGCCGACTGTGGAGCGAGTTGCAGGCTTGACGCCAAGCGCTGTGGATTACCCATCGTGCAGCGGCTTCTGTACGTACCTCCATAGATGACGGTGCCGTTGTTGTTGAAGACTATTCGGCACTGGTCCAGAGCGGGGACCGTGTGGAGGAGGTGGAAGGTCCGCAGATCCCACTGAACCTCTGACTAAGGACCATGACACCGCTTTTCGTATGTATCAACTCAATCTGCTTCGGATTTAATTACACAGCAATTAAAACCATCCACTGGGTTATGAAATCAATTTTCAGTGCAATAAATATTTAATGTTTGGCAGTGAAATTAAAGCTCATCCCATCATTAGAGCGACTACAACTTTAAACACTGATACGATCTTATGTTTTAACGTTGTGCTGTATATTCATTACTAAAGTCTAATGTTAAACGAGCTGTCTGTAACTGCACTAATGCAACCACTTTTAATTTGAGTAATTAGTTGCAAAGATTAGATGTAGGTCTATTTGTGATGTCCCCTTCAGGATGGATTGTAATAAATCTGATGATCCTTTAATGCTAAACTAAGATGATGGACATGGTACACATTACACTTGCTAACACATCAGAGTGTTAGCATTGTCATTGTGAGGGGACTTAGCATGCTGACGTTAGCATTGAGCTCAGAGAGCGTCGCGCCTCAGTCCAGCCACACAGTCGCCCACTGGATTGGCTGTAGACTCTTAAGCTTTGTTGAAGGCTGAATATCCTGTAAAGTTTAAACAATTTGATTTCTGCTGCAAAAATATTTACTCAAATGAAGATATTTAAGAGCTCCTGTTTCTAAAGTGTCTAAAGACAAATTATTTGTATAATTCCAAGACTATAAGTAGTGCAGGACACCTCACCGTGATTATGGCATTTTGTGATGCATTAAGCTGCTTTCCAACCACCACATACCTTTTCTTTGTACTTTTACTACGTACTGCAGCTGCCCTTACAAAGTATGTATACTATTTAATGTAGTATGCATTCAATTGGGACATACTACATCGTCATTACACTGCACATTTGACTCCATTGCTCATATATTCGTTGTGCAGAGGATTGTGGGTCAGAGAAGCCAGAATGCTTAAAAATGCAACCGGACATCCGGGTATTGTTGGCGTACTGCATTTGACACTGGGACGTACTAAATAGTATGTAGTATGAGTATTGGAAGGCTTAGTTAGTCTACTCTACTGCATTCTTATCAACCCATGCATTGAAGCCTCAAGGATACAATTTCCGTGTTGACGATGACCTCCAGGCCGTTGGGATGGAACACGCCGCTGATGTTCATGTTGAACTTGTCAAACTTGTGGATGGCCTGAGCCGTGCGCACGTCCCACAGCACCCCGTCGTTCAGCACCAGGTCATCTGTCGGGTTGAAGGTGGCACAGTTCCTCTTGTAGTTGTTGGCCAGGTCCGGGTTGTTTAACTTCAGAGTTACCTGACCCGTCTGGATGTCATAAATCTGGCAAAGAGAAGAGCAGAACGTAAGCCTTCACCACTGATGGGTAATGTGGTTTCTTCTGTATTTATCTTTTCATATCATGTTTGGAAACAGAATGCTGACAGACGTACCCGCGCTATGTGTTCCTTCGTCCCAATGACACGATCTTGTGAGAGCTTACTGAACTCCACGTAATGGTCGCCCAGAAAAGAATGCCTGAAGAGCAACATTTCAACATTTCATCAAAAACACGGAGCCAGTGTGAGTACAAACGCTGAGTCGTCATAAATGCCAGTAATGCCTTGGTTATACTGGAAGGATGAACGATGCCAACTGCTTGAGTTCCATGAACTGAAGACTGCAGCCCTCGGGCTGTTAGCGTGCATAATTAAACAGCATGTCATCTCTTTTCTGCAGCTCCCTCTTAGGTAGGAGGGACGTCACCGAAATGTACAGAACATCGGGTAACTCTGCCGTGAGAGAGCTGTACAGTCTATGTTTCAGACAGAAGCTGTTATCTATGCTCTCATCAGAGCCACCACACTCTTTTGAAAGAAACTAATTCTAACTTTAAGAACATGCGAGTTGCTGGTCTACCGCCGTCTTTATTTGTTTGTTTGTGTCATTGTGTGACTTTGGTTTGATTCACCAAAGTCCCACAATGACCTAAACAAACTAACCGACGGAGACGGCTGTCGACCAGCAACTCAGCCACGTTCTGGGAAATAAAATGATTTTTTTTTTTGTCAATGGAGTCTGGTGGCTCTGGCGAGAGCAGATAGATAAAACCGATTTAGTTCCCCCGACGGAAACGGCTGTCTCGTGGCAAAGTAAACAAAAATATTATAAATACTGCACACACTTGATGTATATTTTATACAACCTGATATTGATCTTTTTTTTTGGATGGGCCTTTTTAAAAGTGGCTGAAATATATTTTGATGACGTCCCCGTCCACAGCAGTACAGTGCTTCCGTTTCCCATTGCGGGACTAATAAAGGATTATCTTATCCCACACTGGGATAACTGTAGGTAATACACTGACTATATATATATATATATATATATATATATATATATATATATACACACACACACACTGGAGCGGTTGATCCACAGTCTATGGTCAAACTGTATTCATGTCGTACATGCCGTCTTGCAACACTGCAAATGTTTCAATATCTCAGACTTTGTGTGCAGCTGGTAAAAATAACAAATCTGTCTTTAGTCTCTCGTATCAACATCACTTACTTCATGATGAAGACTGATTTCATGCCCCACAGAGCAGACAGCGGGTAACTCCAAGAGGCCGACGTTAAGAGCAGAGAGCCATCCTAAAAACACAAAATGTGATGGTTAAACATCTCCTCCATACATGTTATAAATAGACTTATGAATATAATTTGAGAACCTGCAAATATTGCAAAACACATTTTCGAGCAGAGAGGGACTTTAAATATCTTATATATGGAGGAAAAGTAAGAATACACACATCAACAACAGCAAGACGAAGCATAAAACTGTTTCTCTACGAACCCGCGAGGGCTCCAGGTGAGTGATGGCTGAACTGTGACAGCTGTAGCTGGCTTCCTCCTGGCCTGTAAACACATTGTAGAGTTTGAGCTGCCCCGTGCACGTCCCGAGCATCAGGAACCGCTCGCGAGCTGAGAAGGCACAACACATGAACCCGCTCTCGTCCTCTTCTGCCTCCCGGAACACGGAGATGGGACGGAACCTGAGGAGAGGAGAAATAAATGTGGAGAAACATTTGCGGAGGATTGGAGGAGAAACCCCACGTTGTGCTCAAGGAAGGAAACAAAGCGACCCACCTGCTGAAGATGAGATGTCTGTCGAAGCAGCCTCCGTCCACCCCTCCGTATTTAGGATATATAACCCTCCGAGTGTGACGGGATGTAAAGTTGATGGGTGCTTGGCGTCTCTGTTTGGGCTCGGGGCACTGATGGGGGGTGAAGAGGGAGAAGGGCGGGCACGTTGCCACGGGGTTTTTACAGCGCGCATGCTGCTCCCTCAGGTACTCTGTGATGATGCTGTCTAACGCAGGCGGGGACGGCAGGTGCCGGTCGAACTGCTTCTTCATGGCCGGACTCTGGCTGAAGGCGCCGTGGTCAGACTTCTGTCTCAGCACCCGGGGTTTCTTGCAGCTCACCGTGGCGCACGCGGCTTGCCGTTCCCGCGAGAAAACGATCCGTCCGATGAGCGGGGAGCCGTTGGTGCACGGCGTGATGGACGTGGAGGGGAACACAGCGGAGGAGGACACGGTGGGCTGTGACGTGGAGGGACGTGTTTGTGGATTGCTGGACCCCGGGGTGGACGAGTGAGCGGGATGGCTTACGAGTCTCAACCCGACACCGTTGGCCAGACGTGGCGTGCGGGGTAACGTGGCGACAGGGGAGCCGGGTGGGGGAGGAGCGACGGGGGGGAAAGCAGAAGCCGCATGTGGCGGGTGAGACAGACACGCCATCGGGAGGTCTGCCTCCTTTGTGAGAGTCGTGGCTGTGTCGTGAAGGCCTTTGGCCACGAGGTGGTTCCTAATAAGCAGCAGCAGCTCTTTCTCAGGGAAGGAGATCCTGGACTTGGCGACCACGCTGGCCCTCTGCAGCCACGCCAGAGACACGTCCGTACCGATCAGCAGCGGCTTCCCGGAGATCCTCTCTATCAGCTCGGCCGCGAACTTGCAGAACTTGACGTGTTCGCTGCGTTTGTCCTGGAGCACGGGCTCCTTCATGAGCTGCTGGATGTGTCCGCTGCTGAACAAAGGCAGCTTGCTGATGATCTGTCTGACGGAGGTGGAGCGAGACAGACCCACCAGAGCCTTACAGGCCAGAGCTCGGATCTGATCTGCATCGGTAATGGGCATCTTCACCGTCAGCAGGGACAGCAGCACCTTCGGGACAGACACGGGAAGTTAAGAAACGATAGTTGACAAAACAAAGAGGAAGTCGCAGTCATGATACGAGCTGGACAAATACTCTGAATCACAGCAGCCCCGCCCTAAAGCATCCCCTGCTTTATGGTCTGTTTGACTCTAAATGAACCATAATGTACTAAATGAACATCGTGCTGTATTGAAGAAGACTTGAAACTAGAGATTGAGACCATAAACTCATGTTTACAATGTTTACTGAGGTAATAAATCAAGAGAGAAGTAGAGTCATTTTCTCATAGACTTCTATACAACCAGAGGAGTCGCCCCCTGGTGGACACTAGAGAGAATGCAGCTTTAACACACTTCAGCTTTGGCTTCACTGTTCCGAACCAGAGGTCGAGAATGAAAAACTTGTATTTGTCACCTTTTTGTGAGGTCACGCTGACCTTTGACCTCCAAATTTGAATCAGTTCATCCTTGAGTCCAAGTGGACGTTTGTGCCAAATCTAAAGGAAACCCCATCAAGGTGTTCATGATGAACGAGGACGGACCGGACGGACAACCCGAAAACATAACGCCTCCGGCTACGGCCGTCCCCGGCGCAGAGGCGTAACAACCACAAAGGCTTGAGAGCCTGGAACCGTTCAACGGTACCTTGATGCCGTTGTTGGACTGCACCACGTTCCACATCTTAGTGAGCACACTCTCGCTGGCTTTGGTCTGCTGAGGCAGGCGGCGACGGGGGGTGCCTGCGATGAACTTGCCAATGCTGGACATGCGTTTGTCCGGAGCACAGACGCAGTTGATGACGACCTGCAGAGCCGACTTCTGAATGTCGGCATCATTTACAAATACCTCTCCCTCTGCTACTGCCAGGACTATACTCATTCCTGAGGGAACATAAAAACAGACAATTAGAGAAAAAACCACAAAAATAATACTTGGGAGTTGCACCAGCTGGGCACAGGGTTTATGAAATGAATGAAAATACAAAATACAAAGCCACTGCATGATATTACATTCTGTGTAGAGTGAATAGGATTTATTATATTGGCGGCTGACCTAACATTCTGTAAATGCCATGCTGCTTGAACGTGTTAGCGACTATTGGTCGTATATGTTGTCGTTTCATGTAGAATATAAAACACGTAAGTAGCATCACGACCCCTACCAACAGTGGAAACAGAGGATCCTCCCTCATCAAGCACAGCGACGGCCTCCGACAACAACAGCTGGGTCTTTGGAACAACTGTGAGGATGCTCAGGATGTCGAGAGCATAACGCACTGTATCGCTCCTACAGGGCAAGAAACATTATAATACATTATCAAATCATTATACTCTCACATAACACATCATGGAATAAAGGAAATGAGAGTTACTTCCTGGTCCATACCTGCCATAGTAGGTCCTCCAGTCACAGGCGATGGAAATGAGCTGCAGGAGGAGCTGGACACATGACAGCTTGTGAAAGAACTCCGCTGGTTCCCAGTAGAGTCTGAGCGGACCGTACTCGATCAGAAACTCCATCATTTCCACCACCTGCTCGCGGCTATAGCTGACCGCCTGCAGGACGAGCACACAAATGATTAGGGCGGGAGTTCAGACGGATGTGCATTTAATTCACGCTGCCATTCCAAAATTTGGGATCACGGATTAGTTACAGTGAGATGAGACTCGTTATTTTTGAATTGTCATATAATTTTTACTATTTTGGGGCAAAAATCCCACCGATCGTTGTCTTGCCTTGTAGTATGGTTGGGAGTGAATGGGGGCGCCCCCCTCTGTGCGCTGGAGGGATTGCTTCACCTGCTCCACCTTGATGGCCAGGTGGGCCTCAAAGTACCTGCGCAGGGCCATGCAGGTGTGCTTGGCGGTCTGCCTGCTGGAGAAAATCTCGTCATCGCTCAGCAGCGCTCCCTGGTCCTCCGGGTTCAGGATCTCCAGAGTGCTGATCTGGAAACAGTCAGTTCACGTCATACACTAGTACACCCACACCATCAGCATCCGTTACACGTTTACGCGGCTACAGTGCGGATCGCATGCAGCGCACTGCCGGTCCGTCCTACCAGGTTGACGAGGCGTCGGAGCCCGTCCTGCCGGTCGAAGAGCTCCAGGACGGCGCGGAAGGAGAAGGAGATGGAGAAGAACATGGTGGCGTGGCAGCAGCCGGACGCGTGCGAGCACTCCAGCAGCCACAGCGTGTAACCAACCACGTCCGACAGGATGGAGTGAGGCAGCATGCACACCTGGAGAGGAGAGGACACACTTAAGAATACAGATGTGCAACACTGATAATAAACTAATATCATTTTGAAGCAAATAACGCAATATCTATGTCACGATTACTGTGAATGAATATATAATTATATTATTGTTATTTTAATTACATTATTTGGATAGCAACATTGTTTTCATTTATTTTTAACACAATGAAAAACATAGAGTTGCTGCATTAACTCAAAATAAATAAAGACTCCGCCTGTTTTTAGAAATGCCGGTCTATGCAAAATGGAGTATAATAATTGCAATAGATTCAAAATATAACAACTATTTAGAAGAAAAATTTTAATTCCACAAGCTCGGTAAACTGCGCTGTCCACAGAAATAGGTCATTCACTTCATCGTGGGTTAAATCTAAATCCTGAACATAATTAAAGAAGGGCCTGCATATACGTTCATAAATGTAAGCCGTTATCCTTTTATATGCAAGTTATCTTTTCTAAGTGAAAGCTTGATAACATCCATCTTATCCGTTGAGTTGTGCTTGCTCTGTGAATATTTTTCTAAACTAATTCATCTTTTTAGCGTTGAGCAAGCTGAGGACTATAAATGATCTTTCACTATAAATCTTTCTCTGGATACAAACCCAACAAAAAGAGCTTCAGATCCAGTTTCATTTGTTTTAAAGTAATCACTTGATCTTATTCCACCGGTGTGTCCACATTAACAATTTATACTGTACACGTTTTTTCTTCCACGCATTCAACTTCACGTTTGGTGCAGAGATGCAGTTTTGTTGTATGCAACACATTTACACTCAAGATATTTTTGAGCAAAATGATGTATAAAGAGAAAATGATGACCATAAAGTGGAGGAACTTGGTGTTCATTTAACTTAAATACAACAGACCAGTTCATAATTGTATCATTACATTTTAAAGCATCCTTTAGGTACTTTTGAGATAAATCACAATATCATCATTATCTAAATCGAGACAATATCTTATTTCACAATGCAGTATAACTGCCAAGCTTTCCTTTGACATGTACGGCACAGAGTATAGTGTGTTCCCATGCTGTGCGTCTGTTCTGTACCCTTTCCATGGCGTCCTGGTTATAGGCGAGGTAGTACAGGCACAGAGACACTCCGGTAGCAGCCATGGACGGCCGGGGGATTTCCAGCAGCTTCTGAACTCCTCCGTGAGCCACGAACTCTGCAGCGAACTTCTTGTGCAGCAGCAGAGACGCCAGGTACTGCGAGAAGAGAGAGAAGTCAGAAGAGCTGTGGACCTTCTGCTTCGGCCCCATGGAGGGTCACCGGGGGGGGGGGGGAGAACGGTGTTTACCTTCAGAGCCTCGAAGGTGAGCTGCACGTCATTGGTCTGCTTTAGGTCCATGTAATGCATGAGCAGCTCACGAGCTCCCATCTGCATGAACACGGCCAGCAGCTGCAGGGAGGAGGAGGAGCATCAAGAACACTGAAATCATGTTTTCACTGGTGAACCCTGTAAATGGCTGGTCACTGGAACCAATGGTGTCTTTAGCTTCTTCCTGTACAGACTACAAATGCACGAGGTGAAGACAAAAAAGCTTGAGTAGGGTGTCGTATCAAACTAGAATATCTAAGGAATCGATTGGTACCAACATGTCACGCAACAACTTATAAGTGAGCATGGGGATGGCCATCACATACCTCCGTCATAATGTTCTATGCTCTTTTACACTGTCAGAAATGATTTTAATGAATTTTATACATTTGATTTACGACTAAAACAACTTGGCGCACACTGCTGAGCTCCATGTTCCCAGCTTTCAGATAGATAACTTCTATGTGGTGTATACTGTTAACTTTTTATCTCCGCTTATCATCCTCTGTCCCCAAGTCCTCCAAACAAAGGGCCAGAGTGGTGAGAAGTTAAGGAAGACTGACATCTACTGGTAAGTCTGTGACAAGACAAGGAAAATGTATAACTTGCATGAAGTGATTTTAAAAAAGCACATTTGCATGCTTCAGAAGAGCATTTTACTGTACATTGTGTAGACCGGTGGGAAGGGACAAACCTCCTGATATTCTCCCAGAGGAGTGAGATACTGAAGGATGAGCCTCTGTTCGATCTCCGGGGTCAGAGGGTACAGGTGGTAATTGTTGCCGATCACCCAGGGGCTCGTCTCAGACCAGCTGCTGTTGGAAAGCTCACTGAAGTTCCTGTCTGGGTCTGGCAGAGAGAAATTTAGCTTCTGTTTCAGGGTCCTGCCGCTCTCTCTCTCCGCCTTCCTTTTTAGGTAGCTGCTGCCGTCCGACACGCCTTGGTGTATCAGCGACCCCGGGGCGGACATGGGCTTCATCATGGTCTTAACGGCCGAGTTGGCGTGGCTGCTGGTCTTATGGGGGGAGTTGAGTCGGAACGAAAGCTCGTTTTCGGGCTCGATGGTCGAGAAGGGAATTCCGCCGTCCTCCTCCGGCCCCGCCCCCTCCGCTCCGTTTCTCCCCGGTGTGAAGGGCTTCTCCTCGAAGCCTCCGTCGACGGTCTCCTCGTCCAAAGGCAGCAGCGGCTCGCTCAACGTCTTCCTGGGGCTGGGGCGTTTGATGTCCCTTTTATTCTCCGCGTCCTTATCCTGAAGCTCACGCATCCGGTGCAGCATCAAAGGAACCTGTCAGAGTGAGGCACGAAAAAAAACAAGTTGACGGAACAACGCTCCTTCACATCACCTGGTGACGATGAGCAAACTGCTCTGATGCATTGTGGGATAACACAGCTCTTGTTGTAATGCCTCGTCTGTCACTGTGTACTTTCACATCATTCGTTAAAAGTAAAACGTGAGAGCAGAATTCCACACTGACCAAAACAGAGTTCTCCTCCCTGTAGTTGGCTGCGATATCCTGGTTCTCCATAGCGCCGGCCAACAAGCCTGTGGCGTAGATTCTGAGGGGCTGCTCGGCCTCCTGAGCCCACTTAAACAGCCTTTCAACTATGCCCTCCTGAGGAGAAGGAACACGGGAGAACGGTGAAATACGTAGAGAAACGAGAACATGAAGACATTCTGTATGTTGTTCTTATTTTCTGATCGCTTCCATTGTTTAGATGTAGCTTTAAATAAAAAGTATTGATATTGTAGGTTTTGTTAACTTTTCAAAATGAACCTTTGAAAGATTTTGTAACTTAAAAAAAAAGAATCAGGGGAAAGTTTACCTCTGTCCTCACAGAGCGACAGTCAAAGAGTAACCACCCTGCAGGCTGGACTGAGACTCCACAAACAAAAAAATGAATACCTCTTGCTGTGGGACGGTTTACTTTATGTGTGCACGCTACACACCAATACAAACTGTCCCCAGTAGAAGGTGTGTACACATGTATTACCTGATGTACCTCTAACCTCTGAACACAACATGTTGGATGTGCAGGTAGAAGACTACAAGAACGTTACAGCTCAAATAAACGACACGCGTTGTTTGAACAGAGAAAAAGCTAAACACTGTTATCTCATCATGAACTCAGAAATGACCCACCTTCTCCTGAAAGACCACGGCCGTCTCCAAACCAGGCATGATGTTCTGAAGCAGGCGACAGGCTGCTGCATTAAGGGAGAATTCTCTGCTGGTCATCACATAGCTATTCACCAACTACAGAGGGAAGAAAAGAAAACCAATCACCGTCTGACTCAGACACGAGAATATAAATCCCCCCCCTTCTTTTGCATTAAATGTTTTGTCTCCATTGTACTCTATCCATTCGTACCGTGTTCATGAAGTCATCATTCTTGAACAGGATCTTGAGCAGGTGTCCTAACACGCATTCGGGGTCAGCTCTCCCTAGTGGCCAAGAGAGAAATATCAAAAACGCACATACACGTTAATCAAATCTCCATTAATCTTCACATGATGTGTTGTTTTGTTTTATTTTCATACCAGGGTGTCGGTCATCAAAGGGGTCAGGGTCCGCTTTGTGGTACTCCTCTGTCTCTTTCTCAACCAGCTCAGAGATTCTGTAAAGTTTCAGCACATTTACCACCTTTACCCACCAAAACACACCCGTCTGTAAATGAGCACAGAGGCACAGCTACTTACTTCGTGAGGATGCTGACCAGCTCCTGAGTGCCGCCTTGCTGCTCCCTCTCCCACTGTTCCAGTAGAGCAGTCAGCTCTGCCTTGGAGTCCACACTGGCAGAAGCCGACGCCATGGCGCAGCCTGTCAGGGTGGCATGCACTTAATATCATTTGATTCCATTAATAACACATCCAGTCCAGACTCATCTGATACTCCATGGGGTCAAAACAAAGAGCGCTGCTGTTTTGCATTTATTTATAATCTTAAAAAAGTCAACATAAACACCCCTGAGACACAAATACAGGGAAAGCGTGATTGCAGTCAGATGATATATGTCGCTAATAATCAGGAGAACAATGAGTTAAGAACAACTCGTGTGTCTGTGTGCAGCCGCTTTCCAAGGACTGCAACTGTCAAAAACATTACTTTTCAAGTTAGCATATAAGAATAAAATATTCTCGCATAATTTCTGCTTTGATTGGGAGATACAGCTCCAACACTCAACACCACCAGCATGTTTTCCCCTTCAGTTACTTGCAGACATTAATCACTGTAACGGTCTGCCTGTTGCGATGTTTGGCTAGCTACACTGTGGCTAAACAAGGAAGCTAACACACACACACAGCTCGCTAGCGACACTCTTAAAAGTGGTCACTTTTGACTTCCTGTGCTATAGTCCGCAATAAGCCTGAGCTGTACAGACACGTCCAGTTTATTCTGTCCAATTAAAATCATACTTGAACCAACGGAAGCTGCCTGTACGCGTAACCACCACCTAGCACTGAGGTGTTAGCAAAGAGTAGCTAGCTAGCAGCATCACAGGTGAACCTGGCTACTTAGCTAGCATGCTAACTTTACCTCGTTGTTCCGCTCAGTTCTTCTCCGGTTTTACCAAATTTGCCGAGACTTGTATCCACCGATACCGGTCCAGACCGGATGGTTCCTATGTAACTATCTACGTACCGATCACCGTTTCACAGCCAACGCTTAGTTTGCTTTATTGTAGCTTTGTGTCCAGTTTATTATCATTATGGCGAACACGTTCCCGACGTCATTTCACAAGCGACAGTCCACTTTTAATGACGAAACGACTCAACAGCAAAACATTACGAAATACCCATTATTTACTTGTACAAAAAGAAATATATTTTATTGAAAGTAAGGGATAGTTCAAAATAAAGCATTATACGTTTTTGTCTCATTTGATTATAAACATTCAAGAATTGGTTATATTCACATAAAACTATTAGTTCACATACATATTACCAACATAACAAAAATACTGCTGCAAATATATCATAGGAAATAGTTTGCATAACTGATGACAAAAACAAATCATTGGTGCCATATAAGATTCAGGGAATATAGTGGATTATGGTTTATATTGAGTCAGTAAACAATTCATTCTTCTGTGGCGCATGCATACAAATGACACGCAACAATACAAATGATTTCCTAAACATTAGTTATCATACAGTAAAAAGGTGAATAGACTTTCTGTGTTGCCTCGAAGGGCGCCGATTTAAGATGCTTCATCAGCTCTACTAACTTCTGAGGCGTTCATACTGTTTGAAATGCCCTTGTTTGACTGCCCACGTGTTCATGGAACTACCCACTAGTCAGTAGAACCGACTTGCATGTAAAACGTATTTCGATATCTAAAGGAAAGGAAAGGAAAACCTTCATACACAACCGTTGCAGTTTACATCACAGTACAGCAACAGGTAGCAGGATAGTTATCTGCATTTACTTTGAACTCATTCCCGTAAACAAAGTAAATGTGTGATTTTCCTTTCCAAGAGTAGGTCACCTTGGTGACAGGGATCAGCTCGATGGTTTGACGCTGCAGACAAAAAGAGCAAATATGAGCATTTTATGCAAACACCAAATTAGGCTTCAATCCCAAGTATTGTCCGGTCTTTTGACATTGATAAGATATTATTTTGCATCCAAATAGAAGGCTTTAAATAAAGTAGATGTTACCTGTTGCAGGATGCGTGACGTCCTTGAGTACTTGCCCTGGTGTTCACCGACAAGGCGCTCTGCAGCATTCACCACCACAGGGTCTGGGAAGCCCATCAGTGGGTAGACCTGCACAGAGAAATAATTAATAATGCTGAATTACTGTTGATGACTTTCATTTATTTGTTGACGGATCGAGCAGGATTACATATTGCATTACTTATGACCTCTGTATAAATAGAGTAGGTTTTAGGTCCTCTGGCACGAGTCTGTTAGTTGTTCCAAAGTGCAGGAATGAAACCTTTGCTGAATCAGCTTTTAGCTCCTGAAACAGTCTGTCTGAGGATCTGAGAGCTGCTAGAAATGTTGAACTCTTTAAATGTAAACTTTAAACCTACCTATTCAGCCAGGCCTTTGATTAAGAACGGTTTATAGACATTTTAATAACTTTATTCACTTATTGTATTTAAGTTGTAAAATGTTATTCTGTTTTATCGTTATATCAATCACTTATTTTATTGTATTTTAGTTATATACTTTTTTCTATTTTATTATTATAATTTAAAGCTATTTTACTCCCACCACTGTAAATATAGCTATTAATTAATTATTACATTTTATAGTTTTTTTGACTTGCATGTATTGGTCTAAAGTTGATACATTTTTTACTTTAATTTTTTTGCTTTATCTGTCGTTTATTCTGTTCAAACTTGTTGCGTCTTATTTTTTTGGGCTTGTCAGTTGTCTGCGAAGCACTTTGAGCGGCACTAAAAATGTATGAAAGGTGCTATACAAATAAAGTTTTGATTGATTGAACACCGTGTCAACGCAGTACAAGAGGGCCGCATAGTGAGAGGAGCGTGTCAGTAGCAGCAGATCTCCCTCAGTGTCACACAGGATGCGTTTAGCCGCAGATCTTCTGTGTGGTCGCCCACGTTTTGGCAGTGCTCAGACCCCAAAACACAATAACTGTAAAATACACTTGAAGCCTAAAAAGAAGCTCACCGTTAACCTTGTAAAGCACAAGTGTAAAACAAATTGTCATGTCAGCTGTGTAGACCATTGAATCGATCAGAACATTGCATTGACAGCCTGTGTGTGTAGATACTCCACTACATGCTGAAGTCTTACACCAACTTGCAATAAACAAGATTTAATGGAAAAACTTTTCTCTCACTCACTATTAATACTTGTGAATAAATGTGTTTAGTTTGAACAATGAATACAGTAGACTAAGCTTTTAAAAAGACATTTAAGTGAAGGACAATTCTAAGCAATATGCACGTTCTCTGTATTAAAAAAAAAACATAATCCTCCCATGCCCGTATCCTGAACCCCCTGAGAAAGTGAGAAACACTCTCTTACCAGGTACTGAGAGTCTCTGAAAAGCTCCTTGCCAGAGACTTTGCTGAGGTTGTCCAGCTGCAGTCCACTTGACTGTTCCACAACGTAGTCATCAGAGTTGTTGGTCCTGCAAGCACGAAGATAAAACATATAAACATCAAAAGTTACACGGTGACCCACGCTGTAAAGTAACCATAGAAGTTAATGACTTTCAGATCGTTAAGAAAAGACAATTCTAAGCATCATGACGCACCATTTCACAGTGAGGCTGATGTAGACCAGCAGCTGTTGTTTTCCATGACATGTTGGACATTGCATGGATCCTTGACCGTGGCAGTGGTTGCAACTGTGAACAGAATACTGTCTATCAGCATCTTTGAGGAGAAGCACCAAAACTGTGCCGTTTATAAACTGTACTTTTACTTCATCAGACTCTTACTTCTCCCTCCCTCTGCCACCGCAGTGGTGGCATCGATCTTCTCCGTGGCGATAACCAGACCCGTTGCACACCCAACAGACTTTCTGACGGGGGCAAGAAAAGAAATCACATGATCAGCCGATGATCGAAAAGGTCTTTGAAGTAAACCCTTTTTGAATGAGGTCTGTGGACTTCACTTACATTACCAGCGCCGGCGCAGTCTTTGCAAGGTTTTCGGCCCATTCCCACACACACGTGGCAGGACTGTACGTGAAATAGATTTCTCATCAGGAACGATCTCTAAAAGCTATTACAGGAGTTTTGTTCCATCCGCAAACCTTGTGTTGTATAATTCACCTTTGTGGACGACGTGTAGGGAACCTTCATGATCTGTTTGTCTTCCACGAATAAACTGGGGACTTTGACAGGAACGTCCCAAGGACCCGGAGGCGGTTGGGAGAAGGCGTCCACTGGCTGGCCTGATCCAAATAGAACATACCAGATCATCAGTGAGAATAGCAGACTGACAGCAGACAACAGAGAATTCAACTCATGTATTTAATGCACAAGGTGATAGTCCTGTACCATGGTACGGCTCGTGACTCCACTCTGTAGATCTTGATTCAGTGAAGGTTTCCAGGCGGTACTACAACACCAAGCCAACGAGAAATTCTTATTCATGCACTAAACATCCAAAACGATGACAAAAGCTTTTACTCCTACTGATTATTTTCCTGCTTTTCCAAAACACACACAAACGCGTATAAAAGAATGACTTCCTACCCTGTACGTGTTGAATGCGTCCATGCTGGTGATCACACCGTCCTTCACTGGCGCTGCACTGTAGCAGCACTTGCTGGAGGCGTACAGGGCTAACGCCTCCCGGGCAGTTTCTTCAGTTATAGACGGGATGCTGTCAGCAGCGAGGGAATGAAATGCATCATGAGACGGAGTTTAATCTTTATTTAAACATAGACAGGTTGACAGATTTGACAGGTGAAGAAGCCAATGCCAAGACAAAACAGGAATCTAGAAACACAACGTATTAAAGATAAAACATCGGACCACAGCTGTTATTGTTTGTAAACAATCAGGTTGTAAAAGGACTCCAGGTTGTTTTTGTAAATGAGAAGGTTCCTCTCTTCAATAAAAGCTGAGAGCTGCGAGAGGCGTGAACTCGAACACGTTACTTATCCACTGTGTGATGTTACGGCATTCCTGACACCCACTTCAATAAAAACATATCTCCTAGCACAGAAGAGGATTTAATGGAGTAGGAGGAATATTTTGGGGAATTATATTTAACCAGAATGCCTCATGAAGGGAAAAAAAAAGTTCACTCTTTGAATAATTACGTCACTGATTTCAGTTCAACATTTCAAGAGGAAGTGGCTGTTATAAGAGCGCTAGTACTGCTTTAATGTTACGACACATCATGGAAATTAGTTTTTGCAATATCTTCAGCGGGGATGTTGAGGAGGGAAAAACAGAAATAGTTCAGCTTACTTCCACTGTGGCTGTTCAGGTCCAGGTTGAGGCTGGGGAGCCGGGGAAGCCGGCATCGGAGGGGGCAGATACCCACCTACAGCAGATATAGAACGTTTGTTGTTCCGTTTAATCGATCATCTTAACAGCAATCACTCAGAGTCCTCTTCTTTTTTTACTTACAATATACACTCAGTGGTCAGTTTATTAGGTACACATTTAAAATCCAACAGTCCATCCATGAGTTCCACCTTTACACAGATGATAATGGTCATTTTTGCTTTACACTGTCAGAGAGGTTTTAATTATGCATGTACTGTATATTTATTATGGTGGTTGTAGTTCCATATTGTGAGGGGTTTCTACTGTGTTGCCTCCCGCATTTGTAAACATGAGGGGGAGAAGTATTATAAACAGATTCCAATATGATGCAGGCCTTGAAAAATGAGATTAAATAGAATATGCAGCAGAGCTGTACTACTGGATCCGGTTTAGATTGTATGGATGTACTCTAATAAAGCGGACAGGGCTTGAACATGACAGCACTGCGTAAAGGATGTTTACTGTACCTCCTCCTCCTGCCAAGGTGCCTTCATAGCCCGGCATGCTGTCAAACATGCTGGACGGAGGAGCGCTGGGGCCCAAGAAGTCAACAGCAGCGGCGGCGGGTGGGGCGAACATTGCTTAAACGAAACAAGAAGAACCAGTTCAGGTAATGGCTGTCGGCCTATGAGTTCCACATTTTAAATCAAGCTTCTATGAATTACACAAACGAGTAGACCACATGTATATACACAAAGGGGGGGGGGGGGTCTCTTTTTCTAAGCGGAATTCTTGAAGGAATTCCCAAGTTGCGAAAATATTGTTTTACAAGTCAACACCAGAAGGCAGGGTCGCGAGAGAGCGAGAGCGAGAGCGAGAGAGAGACTGAGACTTACCTTGCCCCTCCGTGTTATAATCCATACTGAGGTGTTTTACAGCTGCTTTAAGGGGTTAAATCCTTCAACAAACTATATAACGTGTATGTAAGTAGCGGCGCACAGAACACCCGACGAGCTGGGCGGTGACAGCAACCTCAAGCAACCCGCACGTAGAAAATGACGTCACCCTTGCGTGTGTGGGTTTGTGTGTAAAGCGGAAGTGTGCAATTACAACACTATTGTGAAAGATTTTGGCTGCCATGTAAAAAAGAAAGGCTTAAAGTTCAGTGCACCCCCCCACATGGAGCTTACCGGGTGCTCCCTGCGCGGGTACGTATCCCGGATTGGCCATTCCGTAGTTTCTGTTCTGGTGGCTGGTAACCGAGAAACGAAAGTTAAGAACAAACAACATTCGCTACACTTTGTTTGGAGTAAAACAATACAAATACATAAAATAAACTAGTTATAATTATAAATGATAAACAATAAAGCGACGCTCACCCCAACACCGGCTGATACTCCATGTCAAAGCCCTGGAAAACAACCAACGCACGACCACACACAACTCTTCATATGGTCTCTAATCACACACACACAAGTGTTCGTGACGAGCGTAACATGTGACAAAAATGTATTATTAACCCTACCTTTTAATCACACCACACACCCCACCGTTTTCGAGAATCTTGCAAGTCAGCAACCGTCTCTTCTCTCAGAAAGTAATACAACTTTTTGTGTGTTTTTTTTGTTTCAGCTCGGGGGCTCGATCTTCTGTTAATTAATCTGATAAACCTCAGTTTAGCGAAGTACCAGTTATAGCCTCCCTCCAAAGTAAAAGTCCAATCTGCCCAGGAAGTGCGCACAAATTCCTTTTTATGAGCAGTAAACTGAATTTTTTTAAGTGGGCGTGCAGGTTGTGCGTGAAGCTTAAAATAAAATAACATAAAGCTCACAAACACAACAACAACACACTACGACATTCATGTTGTTTCATTTCGTAGATTTTGAGAAATAACTTAAAATTCCTAGTGGAAAGCACAGTGGTTCTGATAAAATACAGTACCCACAATGCTTTGCAACTGTCACGGAAGTCCTTTTCTTTCCTTCCGCCGTCGTTGAAGTCCCTTTTGGATTTACATCGGCGGGTGAGTCGATGCAATCTACGTTCATCAGCGCAATTTAGGGCGCTATTTCACCATCCTGACGTGGATTAACGATCATAGATGTCCATTTAATATATATCGGATGAAATTGCCATGTTTGTCATCGTCAACCGTCTTTAATCTGTTGTTTTGGAACGAAATGCTGCTAATACAGCGACCGCTGCGGTGCTAACGCTCTCTGTAGCAGTCAGTGAGGGCCTGACGTACAACGTGGCTCACAGATGAGCATTGTCAAATAAGAACCATCAGTTTCTAACACAATACATATGTAGAGTGTTGATTTATGTCTGGACAATACTGTAAAAATGAAACGTTTGACGTAGAGTAGCATGGCTAGCTAGCTAACTAAACATTGACTGCGCAGTAGAAGCTAGCTAGCTAGCTGACGTTGAGAAACACATTTACCTGAAGCTCACACAACATAAGTAGATGTACACATAGTTAATTGCATGTATAACAGTTTGTAAGCTAACGTTCGTGTTTAAATGTGTCAATGAGTTGCAGGTACCTCAACACTTGCTAATGAGTCTTCCGGCGCTAACGTAGCACGTTGTGGTGTAATGCTGCAGCACTGACATGGACCTAACTTTGGTTTTTAACTTTTGTTTTTTGTTCATCTCCTCAGTCACCATGGCAGCCCTCAGGCCCCTCACAAAGCCCAAGATTGTCAAAAAGAGAACCAAGAAGTTCATTCGCCATCAGTCTGATAGATATGTCAAGATTGCGGTAAGAGTCCATACGACATACTCCCCATGCTCGGACCGCTGCTTTGTCTCGGTTCACCTGCAAGTAATTTAATCCCTGAATATCTTTATCAACAGAAAAACTGGCGTAAACCCAGGGGTATTGACAACAGGGTCCGCAGGCGGTTCAAGGGCCAGATGCTGATGCCCAACATCGGTTATGGTAGCAACAAGAAGACCAAGTACATGCTGCCCACCGGCTTCAAGAAGTTCCTGGTGCACAACATCAAGGAGCTTGAGGTCCTGATGATGAGTAACAGGTAAGTTGTGCACTTGCACTGTGAAGTGATGTAGATGACTTTCCCCTTCCTATCAAAGTGATTGGTATCAGGTGTGCACCAAGTTTGTTCCATTTGCAGAGATTTTGAGGTATCTGCTGAGACTTTAGCTGCAACTTCAGTATAATGAAAGTGAATGGAACTTTACGTTTGAATTATGCATTTTCTATTTTATAAGCTTTGAATGGATCGATTGACGGAACTGATGGCAGAAGTCTCGGTAGCGGAGATCTCAAATCTCGGCAAACAGGAATGACTACATGTCTATACACCTCAAGGACAAAGTAGATGAAATTAACCTTAAATGGCAGCGAGACTTGGAACTAGTTAATCCTCTCAAAACTATTAATGACTTGGTAATAAAGTAAATACTCGGACTGTGATCAGTAACACACAAACATCCTCTGAAGTGTCAAATGACCGTCTTCCTTCGGGTTAGAGACTACTCTTTTAATCTCTCTTAATAGTCAGTATCTGACATCAGATGGGAATAATAATCACATTTTTGGATGCTTGCGGAGCCTCGTGAGAAAAATATTTGTGCTTCATAAAAGCAGAGTTTTTACGAGGAAGTCCAGCATGGTTCACCTGCCTTCACAACAACCTGATGCTGACAATCCTGGATAACAGGTGTGCCTTTATTTAACCAGAAGCTGCCGCTCTGAGTAGTGAAGGAGAGTCTGTAAGAGCTGAAGGATTATGGCCGTCCTCATAGTTAACACGAGGATGTTTTACTTCATGCAGATTCATGTTGAGGCTGGTTAAAGATCAGTATAGTCATGTTTCTTAGGTATGTAGTGACACAGGTGCAATCTGTTAAACTTGTAGAAAATGTTTCCAGGAAACTCCCGTTATTGCCCTTTTTGTTTAAAACCACGTGTCTGGTGTTTGACTGCAGCATTTCAGTGAATAAGAGGCGAGATTCTTTAGCGTCTTGTCATTGATTGATCCAATACTACCTCTTTAATCTGAGTCTGACTGAACGTAGACCTACAAAATAGGAACCCACCAGTAGATAGTTTGTAACTGTATTCTGAAGAACTTCGGGGAGATAATGGATGCTCGAGTTGGTTCATGGACAGGGTTAGACAATTTCAATCAATGTGCAGAACTTAAAACCTGTGTAATGTGAGCCAGCTAACACAGTTCACCCTGTAGCTAATGCTCTGTGAAGATGAAATCATTAAACTATGAGAGTCCAGATGTGGTGACCATGACTTTGCTGCAGTACAGTGGGAATGTTTTTCAAATGTAGGTGTCACAATTAAAGTTTTTCTGGCTGTAGTTTGTCACATTTAGTGGCGACTTTGTAGTTCAGGAACCTCAACACACTAAACATTCAGTGAAAACATTTCGTTAACTCTTCCTTCCTTTCGCTCTCCTCCTGCAGGACTCACTGCGCTGAGATCGCCCACAACGTCTCCTCAAAGAACAGGAAGGTGATCGTGGAGAGAGCAGCTCAGCTGGCCATCAAGATCACCAACCCCAACGCCAGGCTGAGGAGCGAGGAGAACGAATAAACTCGTTGTTCACAATAAATGTTTAAAAATTCAACCGGGCTTGTGGATCCTTTTTTTTTCTGCAGTTCATTGCTCGGGTCTGGAAAATCTTACGCGTGTGAAAGTTTCATTATCAAGATGATGTTATGAAAGAGGCTCATTTTAGAGTTTTAAATTTAGTTTGTTGCTTTTTGTCTGAGATTGTATTCCAAAGACCAATAACAGAAATGAGTTTATTCAAACAGTGGATTTATTTGCCTTAAGTCGATCAGAATCTCCTGTATGTGTCGCATTAGTTTAGTAACACTGGAACTCTACTTATGTTCAGATGTTATTGTTTTACAGCTTCTGACCCTTGTTTAAGTGTCGCTAGTGGAGGGAGATCAGATTTCAAAAAGGAAAGCGTGTGTGAACAGCTGCCAGGGAGTTAAGAATAGAAAGTTTGTTTGGGGCATGATATTTAATTGGGAGTTAATTTTGTATGATGATAAAGCGCTCGCACGTGCATGAGCTGGCGTCTTCATTGTTCTCTCAGAGCTGGTTGAGTTCTCCCTCGGGTAGATGGAGGGGGGGGGTAGATGGGAGTTATTCCTCACTTCTCTTCCAGATGACTGGACGCTGAAACGGAACAAAAGGGGCAGAGATGCCTGAAGAAGAGTGTTGACCCACATTGTAAGTTTTTACACTTTCCCTTCCAAGATGTGATGCGTTGCTTCTCAAAGAGCGGCTTCTTGATGCCAAAGAACATTCTGGACCCAAAATATCTTGAAAAGCACAAAGTCAGACGTAAAGACGGAACTTCATTTATTTATCCTGAGAATTCTTTGTGTAGGGAAGAGTGCAAATAAAGCAAAATAAAAGATCAATAAGGTTTAAGAATAAAATGTACACGACGGCAGAAATGTAAACCAGACGCTGCAAATTAAAATGCCAATAAGTAAACGGTTAATGTTAAGGATCATAAATGAATAAACGGGTAAATGAGGCGCAAATACTACTTGGTCTCTGCTCTCCATCTGTGTGTGAAGTAGGTGTGTTGTGAAGGAAGAAAGGATGTCCCATGCTGCATTGTGGCGGTTGTAGCTTATTGCTGAAGCTGCTTCTGTTTAAGTACATGTAGTAATCTTTAAAGAAGTATTAAAGTATAAATGTGTGCTAAATTTAAACAACTTTTAAATACAATTGAACTCTAATACTATATACAGTAAGTGTGTTGTGTATTTATACGTGTATCACTTTATATTTATATATAGGAAGAATGAATGTACTCTTAACTCCACGACACGTGTCTTGTAGCTTTTGTTCCTTTGCAGATTAAGATTTTAAATACAAAACATGATCGACTTCTGAAATACGATGCATCAAAATAGACTGAATTATCCAAAGTAGTAAACATTAGCTCCAACATGACAAGAAATACAGTAAATCGCTGCATAATAATGATACAACACTCTGAAAGGGACTATTCTGCCCAATGAGTACTTTTACTTTTAATACTTTAAATACAGACATGAGTTTATAGAGTGGTATTGCTACTTTTACTTTAGTTAAAGATGGGATCACTTCTTCCACCACCACTCGTCTGTGAAATGTTTCTGTTAAATGACAAGAGAACGGATCTCCAAGTGTAAAATTGGTGGACTGCTCCTTTAAATAAGACAAAAGGTTAGAAGGTCATATTCATGTACATTTAAGACCCTATGTTTACTGAGAACGCTCTAGAATGTGGAGTTGTGTTTCAGCATGTTCAGGTGTAACATCTGTAGATTAAAGAGACTGTTATCAGAGGTCGTTGCCTTGAAATGGTCCGGCTCAGATCCTATATTATTTTGTGATGTTCACAGCCGGCTCCCTGCAGAGAAAGTTTCCATTGCATTCTGGCAGACAAGCTGTGCCCTACAGCCCTGAGCCCTCTGCCATCTGCTCCTGCGGATCTGACATCGCCAGAGATGCACAAAACACATCACATTTATTTAGCCAGTCAGCTTGTGGCTGTTTGGAACTGAAGGAAGTGAGTTACCAATGCACAAATATCCAGCACAGTGATGGAGCTGAATCTTTTCCTCTTTTAAAAACAACAGAGCATGCACCTGTTCTCTGGAGCGGCTTTGAACGACTCACCTGAGAGGACTGGAAGTCCTCCAGAGAGGGAGGAGACGGTGAGGACAGCAGGACCAGGAAGGGACGGCTGACGTCCAAGACAGACGGGGAGAGTGTCAGGAAGAGAGGACACAGTTCATCCTTTTCCCTCGTCACTGGTCCAGAAGATGAACATGTCATCCAGGGTGATATTTGGAAAGGGGCGCCTCACCCCCCAGCAGCTCTCCTTCGCTTTCCCCCAGACAGACTCCCTGAGGAAAGGCAGCCGGTCCGCAGGAGGAAAGAGGAGGATGTTCTCCTTTTCTCTCAGATGTCGGTTGGGCGTCATCAGAGGGAGAACCAAAGGTAACGAGGAGGCTGAGTGGTCTTTGGAGGGATGCTGATGTGTGCTGCTGAGGTCTTTGATGTGGTAGATATGGAGACTTGAACGTTTTAATTAGCACCAATGTGTGCAGTTTTAGAAAAGAATAGTTTTGTTGCTTTCACGTGATAACTTGAGTTTATCTGTATGATTAATTCCTCCAAAATTACATACATTACCTGAATTCATTTAATAACAAAGTTAAACTTTTAATATAATAATAACAATAATTATTATTATAATGATAATGATAATAACAACAAAAATAATAATAATATTTATAAATAAACTTTATTTATATAGCACCTTTCATCAAATAAAATGCAGCTCAAAGGGCTTCACAAGAGAAACAAATCGATAACACAGGTATGATCATGTTGATAAAGTTCATAATGGTAAAAGCAAGTTAAACATATTACAAAAATCATAAAAACAAGTATGAGAAATGTAAAATAAATATATAATACTAAAAAAAATCCACCTTTGTAACCTTGTTGAGATGTTCATATAATTTATATTGATTTACTTCAGGCTTATTCTGTAGAGCCAGACCTTCCTTTATATCTCTTCTCTCAGCTGCAAGAATGTCTGTTTTTATCATCATTTCATTTGAGAAGATTTTGTCTCATCCTCTGTGCTGAAAGGCAGTTTGTTTATTTATTTATCTATTTATTTCTGACCGACCTTAAAGGTGAACACTGAAGCATGCTTATCCTCTGGCTCTGTTCTTTGTCACACACTGATCCTGCTGGCCTGACGACTGAATTAGTCACTTGGCTTGTCAGACTTTTTTCTATTGCAACTGCACCTGCTCGCCACAAGGTGGCAGTGTGGCCAGTTTGATGGGAGGAGAAGGTCAAGATTCAGGCCCCTCCCGCCTAAAACACCCCACGTTGTTTATGTTTATTAGGAAAGTAGGGCTATTTTCAGAAGGGGTTATTTTTAGGAAACATTGGGAAAATATAGAAACCTGCACTAAATAGTGAACACAGTGCTATTCTCTTATTGAGAGTCACTTTTTAAAAATTCGGCCGTACTTTGTTTCCTTTTTGTTTGAGCATTATAACCTCTATTTAGGTTACTGCAAAATAAATAGAAGATTTATAATCTAATCATTACATTATCACTCGCTCTTCATCGATAATGCTGATATCTAGTCTCGAGGAAGTGCAAAAGAGTCAATATTCATTTAATTAACCCGACGTTTGCCGCCCTGTTCCCGTTTTTTTTTTATCAGTCCAACACACCTCTCCGTCTCTCTCTCTCTTTATTCTGCTGGAAATTAATTAGTCTCGCTCTGAAAGACTGCGCTCGGTCACTTTGTAAATGGGGTATTAAGGACAAAAGTCTCTGAGGAAATTATCTACACCGAAGAGTATTGTGTCCACTGGAACTGCCGACTAATTAGACTCCGCGCAACGGCGGGTAGAAATGTGGAAAATGTTTGTTTGCAATTACTTTACACACCTGTAAAATAAGCAGTTGTAGAATAGAAAGCTGTCATTTCACATTGTGACTTTCTGAATTGTGTTTGTGTGTTGTTGTTTTTTCCATTTCCTGCTTCCAAAGTCTCAGTGGTGAAAACAGTTTGTCCGCAGTGACCAAAACAAATGAGGCAGACGAGGCCTCGGAGGGGCTGGTGGAGGGCATTTGTTGTTGTTGTTGTTGTTGGGGTGGTGGTGGTGGTGGTGGTGGGTGGTGGGGGTCAGGAAGCGACAGGCGTCGAGGCTTCTGCTCGAGTGGCAAATGGTCAGACACGTGTGGCGACGGGTCAGTTGGCAGAGCGTCTGTGTTTGGGTGGAGGGGCCTCAGCGGGGCCCCGGATAAGCAGAGAAACATGAGATGTCGGGCTATAAAGAGGGAAGGCATTGAACTTTCACTCAGATTCTAAATGTTCCTTCTTTTTTTGAGTCTATTTCCTCGTCCCAGTCTGATGAGGAGTCGATTCTGTCGTGCACGACAACTGCACTTTTATGAATAACATATTCGACTGACACACATCTCAAACAGGCAGCTGCTCACAGGAATTCCTCATTGTGTGCTCGTGTGTGTCTGAGAAACAGAGATGTAGATACAAGCTCTGGAGAAAAAAAAATGGGTGCAGTGTCTCTACGTGAGAAAAAAAAAAGTGTCACAGTGCAGTCTGACAATGAATGTGCAGGTGGTGTTAATTGTGCAGTGTGTGTGTGTGTGTGTGAATGTGAGTGGGTGGGTTTGAGGATGTGCATATGGAGGGGTGTTTGACTTAGTGGGAAAATAGATAAAGAGAGTGTGTGTGTGTGTGTGTGTGTGTGTGTGTGTGTGCTGCTGGGGGAGGGAGTGACGATCGTGTGTGCCTGCCTCACTGAACCCCTCTGGCAGAGAGAGAGAGAGAGAGAGAGAGAGAGAGAGAGAGAGAGAGAGAGA